TTGGACACTAAGGTGAGGACTAAGCTTCAATACTGCAGTGTAAAATACCCAGTCCCTTTGCACAACTATCTTGCCCAGAATGTTGACCAACACTGTTAGTCCAGCAGTCACTTGCAGGAACTTGACAAGTTTACCTCCACATTAAGGGAGCTCTATTGTATTGAAGTTTTATAGCATATGAAGTTACCATATATGATTTGAGCAGACATCATCAAAACTCAACAGTGATATAAGATTTGTGTGAAAACTTAACTTTGAAGAAGATTGACTCCTGATATAGAGGTCATTTTAAGAAAGCCCCTTGGCCTCTGCTATTGCTTGCCTAAATCCTATCCAAAATCTTTGAACAACTACAAATACAAAGTCAACATAAGCCTAAGTAAAACGGTTGACTAGAGTAAATGTAGAGTTAACTGTCTGACTTTGAAAAAAAATGGAGCCAACACTTTCTTTCATAAAAAATTACCAAAGGAAACAGGTTTCTTCAGTTCTTTAAGATAAGCACAATGGGCTTCCAAATGACTGCTTTCAGGCTTCTTTCAATACTCACTTTTTCTCTCTGAACAATGTTTCCACTCAAGCAACTTTGGTGTTATGGAGGCCCTAATCAAGGTTACATTTTTTATTGCTAAGTTTGACTTGTTCCTGGCAACAACTTGCTTGAGTGAAATGCTCAGTAGGCCAAGATAAATTTGCATTAACATCTTTAGGCAGGTGACAATACCATGAGGTTGACACTAGAACTGTGCACAACCAGACAATCTTTTGTACTTAACAGTGAGAGAACATATTAAGGACGTTTGCAACTGTTTACAGAGGACATTTAAATGGCGCTTTATTTGTTATGCAGGAATTTCTCGCACTTTCGAACCTGTGAAAAACAAACTTGTAGAGATGAGATCCAACTTACAACTGTTTAAAGCCCATTACACAGTATTACACACGACATTAATGGCAACTAGCATCACTTTCAAATGGCGGTTATCTCGTCTTTACATGGCCTCCTTGGACCGATTACCCTAATACTCTCTAATAATGCCTACACGTTACATGTACCTAGCTAACATTTTCTGCATTATTCACAAGACTCATGAGCACAAAGGTTTTGGCTTCAGTCCACTTTACAACAAGGTAACATGGGGGGTTACGGGGTTTACTCTTTTTAAGGGTATACATTTGACATTATCTTCTTAAGCCGACAGCCAAGCTGGGCAGATGGCACTAGCGTTGCAGTTATTACATACACATTAGGAAGGAAAACATCATGGGGCACGGTGGACATTAATTCTTGACAACACTGTGTTTTTATCTTTGTAATCTAGGGCAAGGTTGTAGGTTTCAGTAATGCATATTTAACAGTTCGCCTATGGTGTAATGGAATGACTACCCAATACACTGCTTTGTGTACATGTAAAAACCCACTAGGTTGCTTGGGAAACCAAGGTACAAAAATAAAACTTTTAAAAGTGGGTCTTCTAACGCATCACTCACCAGTTTAACACTATGGGCGTAATTACAATAAAACCTTAACCTGGAAACCAAACCGAAAAATACAAAAGTACAACTGATTTACATTGGAACTGGCTGTGGTGGTGAGGCTGATGGTCGGTCAGTCACTCGCGTTGTTGTGTCACCCCTCAGGCAACGTGCGCTTCTCTTCTAGTACCCGCTGCCCCCGCCGTAGGGGTGGTCTCTGTAGGCCCCCTTCATGCTGCGGGGTCCGGGAGCCTTCAGGCGGGTGGGGCCACCACTGAGACCACCGGCCCCTCCGCTGCCGCCCCAGCGGTCAGCACTGCTGCTACCTGAAACACGGCAGAACAGAAAAACTGTAGCATGATCCTGATAGGAAAAAGGAACCTATACAAAGTAATAAAATAAATGACATATATATTAAAGTGAACTGGTCTGACAATGTTTTGACTCTAGTGCTTACCATAGTCACCACCATAGTCTCCACCGTAGGAGTCTGAGCTTGCTCCATGGCCATAGTCGTACGATTGTGTTTCACTGAAAAAGGATTGAAATATTCATGATTAGCAGCATATAAAAGCTACTTTTGGCAGTTAGAAGTTATCACCATACAATAAAACCTGTGGGAATTAAAAGACAACTAGTAGGACAACAACTGACCTGTATCCACCTCCTCCACTGGAGCCACCACCATATCCCTGGTCATACCCCTGATCATACCCCTGGTCATAGCTGGACTCCTCATATCCCTACAGGATGGACAGAAGGAAGAAGTTAGGCAACCTAGATAAAATATCTGCTCACAACCACCCTGTTAGTTCCTACCGCTTACATTCCTTTAAATTCAAGCTTTATTTTTACTTACCAGCACCTTTTAGATTCCTTACCTTCTTTGAATTATTGACACAAGTATTATTCACCAATGAATTTTGGTAATTGCTCTGCTTAGAAGCTATTTTAATGTATTTGGGACTCTATTCACGGGACTAATTAATTGTGCTGTTAATAAATTAGGTTTAAAATTCTGTTTAGAAATTGAGGACCTATCAATTGTTCTGTTTAGAAATTAAGACTTAAATTAGGATGATTAGTGCTCCTCTGCAAGGTACCCTCTTTTGGGGCTGAGAGTTTGTTATTAGTTCTGTAAGTCCACTCACGTAGTCTGCGCTGCTTTGTTGGTTGTATCCACCACCCCTGCTGCCACTGCGGAAGCCCTGGCCACCTCCCTACAAGCCGGGTCGAGGATTCACAGACCTTGAGTGATCTCTTAGTTTTCTTGTGTATCTACCATTACACCTATGTCTTGCATAGTTCTTAGCCTTTTGTATGCTCCTTTGGCCATTAGCACATACCTGAAGGAACCCTCTCTTTACTATTGTTCAGGCATGATTCACATGAATTTCAGCTTCTTGCTGTTCAAAATTATTAGACCAGATGAGTATGGGTTAAATTTTTTAGTCAGCTGTTTTGTAAACCTTCCTGACCAACCTTCAAAGCCCTTTGGCCTGCCAGGTTACAGTACACATGTCTATCATGCCTGGACGTGAGATTCATTAACCTGTCCACTTTTAACACCAGTCATAACTTACATAGTCTCCTGTGCTCTCCTGTCCGTATCCTCCTCCCATGGAACTGTCCATGCCACCTCGGCCGGACCCTCGGTAACTCGGGGCACCTCTCAGCCCTGGGCCACCACGACCAGGTGGGCCTCCACGACCTAATGAAGAAACATGTCTACAATTCAGGAACTGATTCTGAAGTTAGCCTAAGTAAAAACATTTTCACCAACAAGTCTGCAACCAACATCTATCTGTGCATTTGGGAAAGGGTCTCATTTCAACACTGCTGGCAGTGGATTGTGAAAAGGAAAGTTTAGCATAGATTGTCTTATCCACCAGAAATTTTTTAAAGAAAGACAAGGAAAATGTGAAAAAGATTACTGCACACCTGACAGACAAAATATGTACACTTTTTAATCCACCAGAGATTTTTTTAAGGAAGGAAGGAAGAAAGTGAAAAAGATTACTGCATACCTGTCAGATGCATTGATTGTCAAGAAAAATATGTAAAAGGATTATCTGTTTATAGTATAACACCCAAGAGAAACAAAGACAAAAAATGGCTACACACGTGACCCACCTGCAGGTGCAGGTGCACCCCTGCCAGGCGGTGCACCCCTACCAGCAGGAGCTCCTCGTGCACCTCCTCGCCCTCCCCGGGACATCGGACCGCCCGGACCGCCACGGCCGCGACCACGGCCTCTTGGAGAAGTCATGCCACCATTCGCGTCGCCCCCAACATACTGCATCTCTTCCATCTGTTGTTGTGCAATCTTGTCATTATGTGTCTAGAATACAACAGACGAGTCTGGTAAGCACGATTTCCTACAGTATCAAACTTGCTAAATCGGAGCTTTGCAACTAAATCAGGCAGTTTAAACTGCAAACCCAACATGTTGTACTGTAAATGTGCAATTAGAAGTGTATACTTACAGGTACAAGGAATTTCTTCACTTCGGCCACGCCGTGTGCAATTCTCTGGTGAGCATCTGCTACGTGACCAAACGCCTCAACCAACACATGCAGCTCCTCATTCAAGTGCAGGTACTTCGGGTCTTTGGACTCTCTGAGCTCCTCCTCCTGTGGAATAGGTACAAATGATGTTAGCACTGATGACCCTTTGTTGTTCTGAGTCTGACTTGTGCACATTTGCATTGTGCGCTAACAACAAGTTTTATTGAAAACAGGAGCATAACCACACAGCGTTCTTATCCTTGATCGACTAATATCACGTCATGATCATCAGGAGGCCAGCAGTCTTTCCACTTACTCTAAGAATATCGCACACCCAGTGTTTCCGCCAGAGGGCCGTCCACCCGTCATATGACGGCCTGGTGTCGTTTTGGACGGCCTAAACTCGGACAGAGGCCGTCCTCTTAAAAAAATTCGAGACTCGGAAAAATCAGAGAAATTGACAGTCTTTGTTTTGTTCCTGTAGACGAGGACGCCGTCCAAGGCAAGAAAGACAAACGTTGTTTGTTTTGCTATTGTTATCATGCTGACGAACAATTGATGTCGGCGCCTTTCGCATACGTTAATCTCATTAAAACCCGTTTTTCAAGTCTCCATCCGGTAAAATGTATCCACAAACATTTTTCCTCGAACAGAATCATTTCGGATGTGAAAATTCTCTTTTGGGAGTTACGTTTTTGATGGTCTTGTAGCGGGCGGGTTGCATGAAAATCCACGCCGCAGTTCGCTATCCACGCCGCGGTTCGCTAACACTTCCGGCTTGCTTGAATACGCGAAAGGCACCACAAATCGGCATATGGATGCATACATTTTCCCAAAAATTCTTCA